CTGACATAACCTCCTTCAGCTGCACAAACGCACTAGACCACACAGTGCACTTATTCAACTGTATTCACAATGTAAATGTAATGCGTCAAAATTGAGATTTCGTTAATCATGACAATGATTACTGTACGTGAGGAATACCCTTTATTTCAATTTACGTTTGATGATAATGCTGTTCATTATTTCAGCAATGTAATCCATCTTCCATTACAAATATTCATGGCAACACCTGTCACTGAGGCAGATAGGTATGATTATGTGTATTTTGATAAGATGGACATGGTCAACCAGTGTTGTGTTGTGTTGTGCAGATGATGCTGTCCACAGGCACCAGGGTCTCCTGAGGGAGCTGCAGGAGCTGGCCCAGGACGGTCAGTCTGACTATGTTTATTAGCTAATACTTTACAACTGAAGTACTCAGGGACAGACTGGGATCAGAAATTGGTCTGGGTGTTTCTAACACAGCTGTACATTTTTTCCCTTGAATGATCATTTTTCGCAAAACCCCCAATTTAGACAGGCCCATTGGGCTACAAATGGACCAGCCCTTCTGGCATTTGTCAGAAATGCCCTATGGCCAGTCCATCTCTGGGAGTAGCCCTGCCTAAGGTGTTATCACCACAGTAACATGGAATATCAAAACATACTGACTTATTAAGAGAAGCAGTCTAATTGTTGCAATATCTTTGCTATGTTATGTTGGTTTCAGAGTCAGGTAATTATACATGTAAATCAAGATAAAATCTTCAAAAACATGTTTTGTTGAACTTGCTGTAATATGCTTTAAATTGTACAGTAACTAACTACCTCAATTTATTTTATTCTTACAGAGAGGGAAAGAGAGAGAGAGTATGGGAGGGAGAAAGAGCGATATGAGGAGAACCAGGCTGAGGGAGAGAGGGACCGAGAGGGGAGGGAGAAAGAGCGATATGAGGAGAACCAGGCTGAGGGAGAGAGGGACCGAGAGGGAGGGAGAAAGAGCGATATGAGGAGAACCAGGCTGAGGGAGAGAGGGGACCGAGAGGAGACGGAAGAAAGAGCGATATGAGGAGAACCAGGCTGAGGGAGAGAGGGACCCGAGAGGAGAAGGAGAAAGAGCAATATGAGGCGGAACCAGGCTGAGGGAGAGAGGAACCGAGGGGAGGGAGAGAAAAAAGAAGCGATATGAGGATGAAACCAGGCTGGAGGGAGCGAGGGGGCGAGAGGGGAGGGGAAAGAAAGAAAGACGCGAATTGAGGAGAACCAGGCTGAGGGAGAGAGGGACCGAGAGGGGAGGGGGAAAGAGCAGACTGAGAAAAAAGAACTGAGAAAGAAAGAGATTAAGGCAGAAGGGGTAGAGGAGGAGGAGAAGGTGGTGATGAAGGACAGAACGAATGAGGAGATGAGGGAAGAGCCCAGACTGGAGGAGGAAAGGGGGGATGAGGAAGAGAGCGCCAAAGAGCTGGAGGAGCTCCTCGCAAAGGAGATAAGGAAGATAGGAAAAGAGGACAGGGAGCTTGAGGAGCTGCTCAAGGAGCTGAAGAAGAAAAGGTATGAGTCGGTGAAGGAAAAAGAGCTCCAGAGAGGGTCAGAAGCAGAGGAGGAGAGGAAGAAGGATGAGGAGGAGCAGAAAAAGAGAGAGAGAGAGCGGCTAGAAATTATTGAGAACGAAGAGAGGAAACGCAGTGAGGAGAGGAAGAACAACGAGGTGGAGCTGCTGGTGGAGAAAGAGAAGGTGGAGCGGGAGCTCAAGGAGCTGCTGGAGGAACAGGACAGCAAGAAGAACGTGGAGAAGGAGAAAGAGAGGGAGGAAAAACAGGAGGAACTGGAAGAGCTCCTCAAAAAGATGAAACGGGTACAAGAGGAGGAGGAGAGAGAAGAGGAGGAGAGGAATAGAGAGAATGCAGGGGATGAGGTGAAAGTGGACAAAGAGAGCGAGAAGGAGGGAGAGATTCGCAAGGAATTGGAGAAGGTGAAAGAGGGAGGGAGTGAGAAGGAGGTTAAGGAGCCTCAGCAGAAGAGAGTGATGGAGAAAGCGAGTGATGAGTCGACCCGTCAGTTTGGAAAGGAGAGGGACAGGGACGATGATGATGACAATGATGAAGAAGCAGATGAGGAAGATGAGGATGAAAACAATGAGGATTGGGAAGAGGAAGAGCAAGAGGAGGATGAGGACAAAAAGGAGGATGTTGAGGAGGATGAAGGAGAGGTAAGTGGGCAAGATTCAACAGGATTTAGCACGACTGAGCTTGTAAAGTTGATACTGTAATTGCTAATTGACTGTGTGTGTGTGTGTGTGTGTGTGTGTGTGCGTGTGTGTGTGTGTGTGTGTGTGTGTGTGTGTGTGTGTGTGTGTGTGTGTGTGTGTGTGTGTGTGTGTGTGTGTGTGCACCTAACACACTGTCTGACCTGGTCTGTGTGCCTACAGGAGCTTCTGGAGATTGAGGCAGAGCTGCGAAAAGTGGCTGCAGAGCTTAAGGAACTTCACAGGGGTCGTTAAGTTCTAAATTACACACACCACACACACACACACACACACACACACACACACACACACATACATACACACAAACAACACAAAACAGACAGATAAGGACACAGTGCCGCTCTCTCATGCTATCACACACAGAAACACACACAACTAACATACTTAGTAACATGGTATAATCATAATGCTTTAGATGGGATGTACTTCTGCATGTAGTTGCATTTTACTACAAACATACATGTACTCTTCTCCCCATCCCCTAACTCTCATACTGCATTCAGAGCTCTTTAGATGTCAGTCTTTCTGTGTGCTGCCATTATCAAAGATTGTTTAGTAGGCAAGATGTACAACCTTGCCCATGTAAAGCTATAGTTAGTCTACATCTCATAATACAAGGAATTGGGAAAGATGTCTCCTTTACGATATGTCTCGTGTAGATATTTTGTGCAATAATTAAAAATCTATGTGTGAGATTTGTTACGGTCATTGAGACTGTTAATGTAAGCAATGTATCACTGTTATTTATAATATTGACATTTTGATTTCTATGATTGATTTCCATGAGTATATCAACAAAATGTGAGGATTGTGCTATCTGGCTAATGTACTGTTAATATCAGACTGTTAATTAAGAACTGGGGTGACACTCAGGGAGAATCTCCATTGCATACTCCTCGCGTCCGCTCTCCTCGCCTCCTTCTCAAAACCCATTGGAGGAGAAGGTCAGAGGGGAGGGACGTCTGGCTTTCTCATCCAATGGGTTTTGAGAAGGAGATGAGGAGAGGACGTGAGGAGTATGCAATTGAGTTCTTCCCTCAGAAAGAGAAGGTGTGTGACCACGGAAACCCCTCAGAGCCTGGTTCCTCTGTAGGTTTCTTCCTAGGTTTCTGCCTTTCTAGGGAGTTTTTCCTAGCCACCGTGCTTCTACATCTGCATTGCTTGCTGTTTGGGGTTTTAGGCTGGGTTGACATCTGCTGATGTAAAAAGGGCTTTATCAATACAATTGGATTAATTGATTGATAGTATTGATGTACATAACATAACATAATGTTATATAATAAGATGAGCATGAGGTTTCCTGAAGTTTAGTTATTTTTGTTTGCAGTTTGGGTCACCCCAGGTGGTCAAGAGTCATAGAAATAGAATGAATGGGAATGTCAGTTCTAGTAATTATATTCTATGGCCAGGGTGGCACCCCAGCTCTTCTCCCAGCTTTGCACTCTTATCTTAACCAGCCAAGGAAGTCTAGAGAAGGGAGTGACACACTAAGCCATTTCTAGTATTTGGTCATAATAAACAATGACTGTTCTAAAACTTTTTTAAAAAGTTGGTAAGATATAGATAATCATCCTCATCATTTTTCATGGTTTGTGAACTCCACTGTTATGCAGCCATGTTTGAATAAGAAATATTAGGAAACAGTGCCCCCACATGTTAAATCAACATAAGTGCACTACGTGCTACACAGTTGCATGGTTAATAACAAATGTGGAGGAACAACAATAACTGCAATACAAGAAGAAGAAGAAGAATATTAAGACAACTTATTAAAACCTATAAAGCTATAAAAATGTACATATTAAAGCCAAATATATTATGATGATTTTCTGTAAATGTACTTTATTATGTAATTAAAATGCATCATAAATGGACTTTTAAATATAAACACTCCTTTTCTATCTAACATTGATTTACAATTATAAACTGGGTGGTTCGAGCCCTGAAATCTGATTGGCTGACGGTCGTGGTATATCAGACCGTATACCACGGGTATGACAAAACATTTGTTTTTACTGCTCTAGTTACGTTTGTTACCAGTTTATAATAGCAATAAGGCACCTCGGGGGTTTGTGGTATATTGCCAATATACCACGACTAAGGGCTGTATCCAGGCACTCCGTGTTGTGTAGTGCGTAAGAACAGCCCTTAGCCATGGTATATTGGCCATATACCACACCTCCTCGGGCCTTATTGTTTAATTATATAACACTGGTAACTGTTCGGACTCATATAAAACTAATATAAAACACATCAACACCATGTAAGAAGTCAAACTGGCTACTCACTACGTGTTGTGAGATTTACTCAAGAATGTATACCATTTCAACATTTAGAAATGTATTTACCAAATGTATTTAATCAGCAAAGGGTTGTGGATTGTAAGTGGGATGTAAAGGACAAATTAGTGGAGGTCAACATTTGTAATTGTACTGGCCCAATCAGAGTCCTGCGTCTGTGCCTGCTGTGTCTTATATGCTACATGTCAATCAATAAAATCACAATGTATGATATTTCTCAATCATTGTTACTTCTATAATAGTAGTGGTTGGTTGTCTTCATTGACTGATCAGAGTCTCTGTCTATTCATACAAAATCCTGACACCTATGTGTCTGCAAGGAGAGGTGACTCAGACCCAGATTATGAGACTTATTTAAAGGCAACCATCGTCAATTAGGTCTCCTACTTTCAGGGGCTTTCTGGATGTATCAGAGCGGATGAACCAGGTCAGGGTCAAGGGTCAACGGTGAACCCAGGTCAGAGTTCAGAGGTCAGCCTGGGGGGCAGATGGAGCAGGAGGACATGTTGCCTGGGGGACTTCCAGTTCCCGGTGGTCCAATACTGACTCAATGTGACTGAGGAGGGAGGAGAAGAACTGAGGCACTCCCTCATAGCCTGGAAGAGGGGGACGGAAAGATAGGGTTGATGAGAGAGAGCTAGAGAGAGAACATGACATTGAGTAAGAGTGAAAGTGTAACATGGAAGCAAATACAGCAGTATAAAGTCACTTTCATGACTGTAAATCGCTCTGGATAAGAGCGTCTGTTAATGACAAATGTATAATGGAAATGAAGGATGGAAAAGTCCAGTGACCTGGGAAGATGTTAATGTCGATAATGGTGAGGGTATGTGTGTTGATGTTGAAGATGACGTCCACCCCGAACAGAGCCATGCCCAGCTCTGCCCTCAGCTCCCTCACTAGGGCCACCATGGCCTCACCACTGGGGGGAGGCAGCCTTGGCATCTTCTCATCCAGCTGAGACACAACACCACAGGACACAGGACAGATGATCAGTTCATCTGTTCAGGGTCTGTATTCACAAAGTGTATCAGAGTAGGAATGCTGATCTAGGATCAGGTCCCCCTGTCTATGTGATCTTACTCATTATGATCTAAATAGCCAAACTGATCTTAGGTCAGCACTACTACTTTGAGACGCATTATGAATACGGTACAAGACCTATTGCAGACAGTGGGTCAAGTAGAACAGGGTAAAAGAGATTGAATTCGTTTGTACAGGAATCAGTGCCAGTGAATCAAATTGAACAGAGTTGAGGTCGTACTAACTGCAGTGAGGTGGGAGCAGGACTCTGGCTTGGACACCTCGTGGCTGTTGAAGAAGATTGTCTTCCTCTCTGGAGTCACAAAACACACCATAGACATTAGGAAGAAGTTTTATTGCAACAGATTATTAAAAACAGTATAAGCATGAGAATGAGACAGAGCGAGAGAGAGAGAGAGAGAGAGAGAGAGAGAGAGAGAGAGAGAGAGAGAGAGAGAGAGAGAGAGAGAGAAGAAGAGGGAGAAGAGGTGAGGGTGTGTCCACACTGACCATGGGGTCCAGGGGGGAAGTTCTTCAGCGAGGGCCTCTCCACAGTGAAGTGGTCCTCTCCCACCACAAACACCTTGTGCAGCACGGCACCGTGGTTGACGAAGCTCTGCAGCACACAGGGAGGGTGGGCATCTGACAGACCAGCCATACTGAAGATCAGAGACATCTATGGTATGGAGAGAGAGCAGGGACACTAAAGTGGTCCTCTGTAGCTCAGCTGGTAGAGCACGGCGCTTGTAACGCCAAGGTAGTGGGTTCGATCCCCGGGACCACCCATACACAAAAAAAAAAATGTATGCACGCACGACTGTAAGTCGCTTTGGATAAAGACGTCTGCTAAATGGCATATTATTAAAGTCTGAAAAACTAGAGGGAGAGCCATGGGCCACTAAACACCAATACACATCTATAGAGAGAGATCACAGTGTCAACAAAGTAGCAATACACTGAGCCACACAAAAAGGCAGAAAATGGTAACAAATATATGGCAAAATATGCAAAAATACTTTTGAGCAATAGAAAGACAGACAGTCTCTTACCTCATGGGAGCGGGATCCATGAGCCACCCTGGTTTTACAGACTAAGAGGAAGAGGAATAGTGAGGTGTGAGGAGACACAATACAACACACAAACTTATGGGACAGTTTCCCAGTCACAGGTTAAGCCTAGTCCTAGACTAAAAAGCACTTTCAATGGACAATCTCCATTGAACATGCTTCTTATTCCAAGACTAGGCTAAATCTGTGTCCGGGAAATCAGCCGTAAATGTCTTATAAATTAGATAAAAGGAGTTTGCCAAAAACTGAATGTGAAGGCTCTGTATACGATAAGATTAATTTGGTGTATGTTTATGTGTTTGGTTGTAGACAGTCCCTCACTGACTCAGAGGGAAGCTGAGGCCCTTGCTCTCCACGTCCTCCTGGATGACTGACAGGTCACTGGTGCTGATCTCCAGGTAGGGAGGGCTGCTGATTCGCCAGTCTACAGGGGGGCGGGATCAGGAAGAGCATTAGGAGATAGAGTGCTTGGCTTGATAGATGTCTAGAGGAGGGACAGTGAGGCTACTGTACTGTACCTCTCAGGGAGTTCTGGAGATGGCTCATAATCCGATAGGAGGCAAAGCGATCCAGTAGCTGGCTCATTGCTGGAAGGGGGTCCAGAAGAACAGTATGGGGATGGGCGGACACATAACCCTGAAACACACAAACATATACTTTAGTATGATAAAATATGATGCTGTTACCGCTGTTGAACACCATTAAATGGGCCATTTTCCCATACCTGGAAGTTGTCGAGGAGCTGTTGTGATTGGCTGTCGTACTCGGCCTCAACAATGACATCAGAGAGCTTGTGTACAATGACCTCAAAGGGTCCTTGAGACTCCAATGGCTGACTGAGGTCTATCTGTATCAGGAGAGAAAAATAAGTGTGAATGAAATATCCTCTGCCTCAGGCACAACTTGGACAAGCACTTGTGAGGCAAACACTACAGCTATTGTTCCCCTCTGTTTGAGAGGAGCTCCAAGCAGGTGACTGCAGGTGGCAGTGACAGAAACGACTGGCATGTCAGACATCTGAAACTGACAAGACAGCGACAGAGACAGACGGGAGAGAAGGAGTAAGTGAGAGAGAGAGAGAGAGAGTGATGTTTCCCATGCCCCTTGGAATTGAATTGAGAGGAGAGAGGGAGAGAGAGGGGGGGGGGGGGGGGGGTGAGAGAGAGAGAGAAGAGTAGCGGCGAGAGAGAGAGAGGGTAGGGTGAGAGAGCTGATGATGGGAATTGGAGACATAGTTGGAGTAATAAAAGTGCAAACAAAGGAATGACAGTCAGCTAATACACTTTATGTTGTGTGTGTCTATGTGACACATAAATTAACATACAAACATTTTATGATAGTTTAATAAAAACCATCAATCGTTCAACTGGTATAACTTGTTTCCCAACTACACTATAAAGCTATTACTCACATGCCTACTGATTTTATTTTTTGCAACCTTATAATGACACTATTCTGATGTCTTCCATCTTAAACCTAAGAACATAATGCAATGTAATGGAAATTGACTTACCTCAACCACCTCAACACCGTGGCTCCTGACCAGAAGGAATTCAATGTTGAATGAAAATGTTAAGTGACAATTTAGGACAGTTACACCAAGGAGAACGCATATGAGTAAGGCTGCAGGAGAAGCTCCATTGTAGCCTACATTAGTATTATGTTTGCAAGAACACAAATTAAAAGTTTAAACTTACGCACAAAGCTCAGCAAAAGCAAACAGATTAATTCGTCTCCGTTTCTTGTCGCTCAGACAGAAACCTACCCTGCGCCCAGACATTTGGGCAGAGGAGCAATGCCTAGGCTGGTTGGACAAAGGGTAGGCAATACTGATGACTTGGGGGTGTGAGAGAGCGAGAGAGCGAGAGAGAGAGAGAGAGAGAGAGAGAGAGAGAGAGAGAGAGAGAGAGAGAGAGAGAGAGAGAGAGAGAGAGAGAGAGAGAGAGAGAGAGAGAGAGAGAGAGAGAGATCCATGTGTAAATACAACCCATATTTATGTTTATTTATTTTCCCATTTGGTAACTTTAATATTTGCACATTGTTACAACACTGTATAATACATAAATGACATTTGAAATGTCTTTATTCTTTTGAAACTTCTGAGTGTAAAATGTTTACTGTTAATATTTATTGTTTATTTCACTTTTGTTTACTATCTACTTCACTTGCTTTGGCAATGTTAACATACGTTTCCCATGCCAATAAAGCCCTTAAATTGAAATTGAATTGAACTGAATTGAGAGAGAGAGATACCTCTTCTTATGAAATGGGAGTAGGCATAGGTTTTCATATACTGTAGGGCGGGGGGGTTCCTCTTGGGGGGGGGGGGGGGGGGGGGGGGGGGTCCTCTTGTCATGTCATCAGGGCCAATACCTTCAGAGAAGCTAATTTATCAAACTTGTCAGAAAATAGTCTCCATCAACCATCAGGATTTTAGACCCATACAATTTTGTTGTAAGGTTTTGCTTTAAACCTGCGAAATGTTCTCTCCAACAAGAGGGGTGTGAACAGTTGGAATCATGAACACTGCTTGTGCCCACAGGGGGGGACGCGGGATGTTACCCAATGCTGGAAAGAGGGTCTAAGTGAAAACGTTTTTCCTCTAAAAAACGTAGTATAACATACAGAACTGGTGCATAATGGTGCATGACTCAGATAAATATTTTCTTATGATTTATTTTGCCAGTAGGCCTATTTCCTTCCACTGACAACTTCCTTATTGCGATCATATTATAACCAGCCTTACCAGTGTGTTGTTAACGTGAGCAGCAATAGTGCAATCGGCGGATTACCTTCAAAATAAAAGTTCCCTATTGAAACTGATGCAAACGGATACAACTCGTGGAATCATGCCACACCTGGACTAGATAACGCGAAAGGAAAGTTAGAATGTTGTTATAGAAATTCAGCAAAAGATAATAATTTGTTAATTTGACACAAAAAAGTAAATGGGGTATCGGCCTACTCAGTGACACTCACAGAACACAACTATGTAGAGTGTACACAAATATTAGCATCATAGCTCTTACTGAAGGAATTTAAAGGAAACTCCACCCAAAAACGATATTTTGGTATTTGTTTCATTGGTCTATAGTCCCAAACAGTTTTCCATTTCAGCAATCAAGTTTTCAATATATAGAACTTTCAAAATACAGAAATACATTTTAGCAGATGCTCTTATCCAGAGCGACTCACAGTTAGTGAGTGCATACATCATTTTTTTTTATTTTTCATACTGCCCCCCCCGTGGGAATCGAACCCACAACCCTCTACCAACTGAGCTACATCCCTGCCGGCCATTCCCTCCCCTACCCTGGGACAATTGTGCGCCACCCCATGGGTCTACCGGTCGCGGCCAGCTACGACAGAGCCTGGATACGAACCAGGATCTCTAGCATTTGATGCAGTGCCTTAGACCACTGCGCCACTTAGGAGACAGCCTGTATGATGCATTTAGCATCATATGATGCTGCGTTTCGCATACCAAACTTTTTTTTGTGTCTAATTAACTAATTATTATATTTTGTTGAATTTGTATAGCAACATTCAAACCTTGTTTAGCATTATAGTCCAATTGTGGCATGATTCCACTATTTTTATCAGTTTGCTTTAGTTTCAATCTGGAACTTTTATTTTGAAGGCAAAACACCGATTCCACTTTTGCTGCTCACGCTAATGTTGTTCACAACACACATGTGCCAGCCTTTTCAAGGTTCATTGAAAAAAGAAAGAGAAAGTAAAACTCCACCGGAAGCTCAACAAACACCTTTATCGTCGTCTGCTCTCTATTGTAGAGTGATCTTCTTGTTTTACTGCAACAGAAAAAAACGGTGAATATAGTCCTATAAGTCTATTAGGCTACTGCATAAAAGGTAACAGGTAACTCGCAGAAAGTTCACTTTAGGTGAGCATCATTTGACGCAAAGCAATGTCCCGTGGTTCGAATGCTGGATTTGACCGACACATTACGATTTTTTCTCCTGAGGGCCGCCTCTATCAAGTCGGTGAGATATTTTGCTTCATTCCTCCAGTTTTGTTTCATGCAGGGGATGAACTTGGCTAGTATAGCCTCTGTATAGGTATCGTTCTATATCATCTAAAATGTAAGATATTCGCGCTGTGAATGTGTTGCGCTGTATCTGTATCTGATGATGAGCATCCCCATAGGCCAAAAGTGTAGTATATTGTGATTATAAACATATTGTGATTATAAACATATAAACATAGTGTGATTGTGTATTTCACATATAATATTTGGGGGAAAAACAAATGTTTTAAATGTGCTTTACTTGTCTGTGGTATAATATGTCCGTCAATAAAGCAATCTACCAATGTTTGAGACTTTCCCAAGAACACCTTTAGACCTACATTATTCCAAGCCGCCGGTGTACCCCATGCAGCTTTTAAAAGTTAGCCTATATTTAAGAATTATAATCTCATGTTCTTATGTGTTGTGCCTCAGAGTATGCCTTCAAAGCCATCGCGCAGGGTGGGTTGACATCACTGGGCGTGCGGGGGACAGACTGTGCTGTGGTGGTCACACAGAAGAAAGTGCCGGTAAGATATTCAGCTTTGGACCATAGCTACATCTCCATGTACCTGGAGCTTTTTTCTTAGTTGTTTGACTTCATCCAAATTAGAAAAATAATGTTGATATCTGGCTTTAGAGAAAGAGTCAGTCATGAACAGTGAAGCATGACAGAGTGGTGTCTCGAGCATTTCTGCTGACAGGGCACACGCCACCAATTTGTTAAAGCTTGTCCAAGGAAAGTTGATATTGTGGAATCAACACAATATTCCTAACAACAATGAGGTATCATCTACTATATGTATGTATATATGTGACCCTGTCATTATAACACAGGACAAGCTGCTGGATTCTGCCACTCTGACCAACATGTACCCACTTACCCCACGCATTGGATGTGTGATGACAGGACACAATGGTGTGTATAATGGCACAGACGACATCTCACATCACACACACACACACACACACACACACACACATCCTTTTACTCTCTCTTCCTCTCCCCCTCAGCGGACAGTCGGTCCCAGGTCCACAGGGCACGAGTGGAGGCTGCCGAATGGAAGTACAAGTTTGGATATGACATCACAGCAGACATGTTGTGTCGGAGAATGGCGGACATCTCCCAGGTCTACACACAGAACGCTGAGATGAGACCTCTGGGATGCTGTGAGTGGTGTAGCCCTGTCCTGCTGTCACCCTGTCTCTCGTTCCTCTTACTCTCCATTGATTCACTACACCATCATTCCAAATGGTAGCACATAGAGTGAGTCTTTCCACTTTGTCCTATTAAGGCACACTAGCTGATGGCGAATGATGATGTAGTATTTACAGCCACATCCATATATGATTTGGTTTTACCTTACAACAGAAATTGATGTCAAATTGATACATTTATACATAAAAATATATATAATTCTACAGTGTTCAGCAGTTATCAAACTATATACATTAACTAGGCACTACATAATTTTGGTTCAGTAGTTATCCGTTTTGAGCAGTTTTATTCAGTAATAGTTAATTGTATTGTTAACAAATGTCAAGAAAATCATATCAAAAGTAAAGTGAATATTGCATTTTGAAACGTAGATACTTATACTGAGCAAAAATATAAATGCAACATATAACAATTTCTAAGATTTTACTGAGTTACAGTTCATATAAGGAAATCAGTCAATTGAAATAAATTCATTAGGCCCTAATCTATGGATTTCACATGACTGGGAATACAGATATGCATCTATTGGTCACAGATATCTTAAAAATAAAGATATGGGTGTGGATCAGAAAACCTGTCAGTATCTGGTGTGACCACCATTTGCCTCATGCAACGCAACACATCTCCTTCGCATAGAGTTGATGAGGCTGTTGATTGTGGCCTGTGGAATGTTGTCCCACTCCTCTTCAATGGCTGTGCGAAGTTGCTGGATATTGGCGGGAACTGGAACACGCTGTCGTACATGTTGATCCAAAGCATCCCAAACTTGCTCAATGGGTGACATGTCTGGTGAGTATGCAGGCCATGGAAGAACTGGGACATTTTCAGCTTCCAGGAATTGTGTACAGATCCTTGCAACATGGGGCCGTGCATTATCATGCTGAAACATGAGGTGATGGCGGCGGATAAATTGCACGACAATGGGCCTCAGGATCTCGTCACAGTATCTCTGTGCATTTAAATTGCCATCGATAAAATGCAATTGTGTTTGTTGTCTGTAGCTTATGCCTGCGCATAACATAACCCCACTGGCACTCTGTTCAAAACATTGACATCAGCAAACCACTCGCCCACACAACGCCATACACGTGGTCTGCAGTTGTGAGGCCAATTGGACGTACTGTCAAGTTCCCTAAAACAACGTTGGAGGCAGCTTATGGCAGACAAATTAACATAAAATTATCTGGCAACAGCTCTGGTTGACATTCCTGCAGTCAGCATGTCAATTGCACGCTCCCTCAAAACTTGAGACATTTGTGGCATCGTGTTGTGTGACAAAACGGCACATTTCAGTGGCCTTTTATTGTCCCCAGTACAACGTGCACCTATTTAATGATCATGCTGTTTAATCAGCTTCTTGATATGCCACACCTGTCAGGTGGATGGATTATCTTGGCAAAGGAGAAATGCTCACTAACAGGAATGTAAACAAATTTGTGCACAACATTTGAGAGAAATAAGCTTTATGTGCATATGGAACATTTCTGGGATCTTTTATTTTAGGTCATGAAACATGGGACCAACACATTACATGTTACGTTTATATTTTTGTTCAGTAGATCAAATATGTATCCAAATTGAAAGAGTGATTTGGTGCCGTGAACAAAATACTATGAATTTGTTTGCTGCACTCAGTCAACTGAAAATGTGCTTAGAGGTTTGAAACATGAGCCATTTTGATGATCTGTTTAGATTTTTGTGCTTAGAGTTGTGAAAATGGAGTTGTGAAAATGGAGTTGTGAAAGTGGAGTTGTGAAAATGGCACCAAAGTGATTGAAAAAACAGCAAGTGCAGTAGGTGAGTCCTAACTCCCACACAGAGGACTCAGACCCATAACCTTCTCCTCCCCATGTCTCCAGGTATGATCTTGGTGGCCATGGACCCCCAGCTGGGTCCCATGCTGTTTAAGTGTGACCCGGCAGGCTACTTCTGTGGCTTCAGGGCCACCAGCGTGGGGGCCAAGCAGACAGAGGCTAACAGCTACCTGGAGAAGAAACTGAAGAAGAGGCCGGAGCTGTCATATGAGATGACTGTGGAGGTAGGGGGATGGATACACCTGGATACTCATGGAAACATCTGCCGAAAAGTGAAAGTCTGTACAGTATTCAGTCTCTCTCTCTCGCTCTCTCTCTCTCTCTGTTTCTTTCCCTCTCTCCTCCAATAGTTGGCCATCTCCTGTCTCTCTTCTATTCTGTCCATGGACTTCAAGCCCAGTGAAATTGAAGTGGGTGTGGTCACTAAGGAAAGCCCCAAGTTCAGGTACTATACTATCACAGTAACTGCATTTCATCATCACTGTGTTTTTCTATTTGCTCATATGGTAATGATCAAGGATTTAGACAAGGGAACAACAGCCAAATGATCAATAGTCAATTCATTTTTCCTTCTCTCTTTCTCTCTCCCCAACCCTGTTTCTAACATCCACTCTCATCTTCTCTTCTTCACCCTCACAGGACACTCTCTGAGACAGAGATCGACACCCACCTGGTTGCCATTGCTGAGCGGGAATAGAGGTGCAGCCATCCACATACAGTACGTCAGGCATCAGGCTGACTAACGAACAGACTAACCTAGTCGTTCAGTAATAGGACATCAATACTACTGCAGTAGATCTGCTTCAGACTGCTGTTGCAGAAGGGCCCATCTTATACAATACTAGGATATTTTTCTACTTTCCAACTATTTACATCTGCACAGGTTGATTTTCACCTTCAGTCTGCATATTAAAGTTTCTTGGACATACAGCCAGGCTGTAACTAGAATTCCCGTGTTGTTGGATTGGTTTGATCGTGTGGATCGTTTCATATTTATTGTCTGTATCTCATTGATCCCCATTGTTTATGACCACCAAATGGGTTTTAGCTGCCTGTGTCCAGAGCGTTACTCATGTCATCTATCACCTGCAACAGAAACACTGTGTAACAGAATAAAACACATCAAGTAAAACAAAAGAACACTAATATCCCTTTTTTATTCTGATAGCTTAGATGTTTTCTGTAGAATCACAAAAGACACAGTAGTTCTTAACCTTTTGTATTTATTTGATTCGATACATGTAACTAGAGACCTGGGTCCATATTCACAACATGTCTTAGAGTAGGAGTGCTGGGGCCGTATCCGCAAAGCGTCTCAGAAAAGGTCCTAGGAATCCTGTTAAAACGTGTTTTAAGACAAAAAAAACTCCCAGCTCAGAGTAGGTTTTAGGATGATGTTATGACACTGCTCAGACAATCTCTGAGCCAGGAGTAAAATCAACTCATAAACGTTTATCTCTGCTGGTAATCATGACAGTTTGAGGTACCGCAAAGGAAAGATGGTGATGATGCTCATTGACATTGTTGCATATGATGGGGAATAACCATTGGTGATGAGGCATTCATTACCCGCTGTGAACTCTAGCACGCTTCAGACAACCATCAAATGTTGCAATGGTAAAACGTTTGATATCATTTTCGCATGATACGATCACGTTGCCTACTCTTAATTCTTGCCTAATAGCATCCATAACCTTTTTTTAACCAATTCTGATGGTTGTTAAAAGCGGAGTTTTGATAATATTACCATTATATCAACACACTCGTCACTCCCATTTAACAACTCCAAATCGCTTTGGCACTGTAGGCATCAAGTCACTTGCCGATAATGCTGCATACAGTGGCTTGCGAAAGTATTCACCCCCCTTGGCATTTTTCCTATTTTGTTGCCTTACAACCTGGAATTAAAATTGATTTTTGGGGGGTTTGTATAATTTGATTTACACAACATGCCTACCACTTTGAAGATGCAAAATATTTTTTATTGCGAAACAAGCAAGAAATAAGACAAAAAAACAGAAAACTTCAGCGTGCATAACTATTCACCCCCCCCCCCCCAAAGTCAATACTTTGTAGATCCACCGTTTGCAGCAATTACAGCTGCAAGTCTCTTGGGGTATGTCTCTATAAGCTTGGCACATCTAGCCACTGGGATTTTTGCCCATTCTTCAAGGCAGAACTGCTCCAGCTCCTTCAAGTTGGATGGATTCCACTGGTGTACAGCAATCTTTAAGTCATACAACAGATTCTCGATTGGATTGAGGTCTGGGCTTTGACTAGGCCATTCCAAGACATTTAAATGTTTCCCCTTAAACCACTCAAGTGTTGCTTTAGCAGTATGCTTAGCGTCATTGCTCCGTCCCAGTCTCAAATCTCTGAAAGACTGAAACAGGTTTTCCCTCAAGAATTTCACTGTATTTACCGGCATTCATCATTCCTTCAACCAGTTTCCCAGTCCCTGCCGATAAGAAACATCCCCACAGCATGATGCTGCCACCACCATGCTTCACTGTGGGGATGGTGTGCTTGGGGTGATGAGAGGTGTTGGGTTTGTGCCAGACATAGCGTTTTCCTTGATGGCCAAAAAGCTCAATTTTAGTCTCATCTGACCAGAGTACATTCTTCCATATGTTTGGGGAGTCTCCCACATGCCTTTTGGCGAACACCAAACATGTTTGCTTATTTTCTTCTTTAAGCAATGGCTTTTTTCTGGCCACTCTTCTATAAGCCCAGCTCTGTGGAGTGTACGGCTTAAAGTGGTCCTATGGACAAATACTCCAATCTCCGCTGTGGATCTTTGCAGCTCCTTCAGGGTTATCTTTGGTCTCTTTGTTGCCTCTCTGATTAATGCCCTCCTTGCCTGATCCATGAGTTTTGGTGGGCAGCCCTCTCTTGGCAGGTTTGTTATGGTGCCATATTCTTTCATTTTTTAAATAATGGATTTAATGGTGCTCCGTGGGATGTTCAAAGTTTCAGATATTTTTTTATAACCCAACCCTGATTTGTACTTCTCCACAACTTTGTCCCTGACCTGTTTGGAGAGCTCCTTGGTCTTCATGATGCTGCTTGCTTGGTGGTGCCCCTTGCTTAGTGGTGTTGCAGACTCTGGGGCCTTTCAGAGCAGGTGTATATATACTGAGATCATGTGACAGATCATGTGACACTTAGATTGCACACAGGTGGACTTTATTTAACTAATTATGTGACTTCTGAAGGTAATTGGTTTAGGGGCTTCATAGCAAAGGGGGTGAATACATATGCATGCACCACTTTCCCGTTATTTATTTTTTAGAATGTTTTGTTTTTAATTTCACTTCACCAATTTGGACTATTTTGTGTATGTCCATTACATGAAATCCAAATAAACATCCATTTAAATTACAGGTTGTAATGCAACAAAATAGGAAAAATGCCAAGGGGGATGAATATTTTTGCAAGGCACTGTAAAACGTTTGAAAGGTCTTTCATTTTCATCGAACACAATCAAAGTTAACATAGGCCCTAGATGGCTTCAATTGCCCAACTTATAGTCATGCCCAATTTAGGCATATTTTTTAACAATGTGATATTGAGCTTCAAAGGGATAACTTGATCTAACATGATGTAGGTTAATTAAATAATTGAAAGAAAAACGTGATTATTGATTGGCCTAGTGGTTATAGGTATTTATGCAGTATGCATATCATGTGAAATAGGCCTCATGTGAAATCATTGTCAAAAGTGCAAGAGATACAGTTGCGTGTAGCCGTAGGTCTAGATTATTTATAGATTGATTGTATAGAAATATCAAAACATTCGAACAACTCCAAAGCAATTGCATGTGGCGCCGGAACCACTGACTCGCTGCATTTTTCTATTATCAAGAAACCTGCTGGTAACTCTGAACTGGTTAGGACCGATCATGAGGTCTCCTAAATATCCGTTGACTAGGTGGGTACTCTTATGACGAAAGAGGCTTCATGCGTAGCTTTTATTTATACCCATCAGAGTAGGAGTAAAATGTCTCTATTCTCAGCATTTACGACCAATTTTCTACTCTTGAGACGCTTTGAGGATACAGGCCCTGATCGAGGATCGGTTTTGCCTTTTAAATCATAATGAAAAAGAGGGGGGACCTGATCATAGATCAGCACTCCTACTCTGGGACACTTTGTGAATATGGGCCCAGACATCAAACAGTAATTCAGGCACAAACAATATTCAAATTCTCCCACTGACCATGACCTCACTTCTCTGTTCCGCACTCTTTCCCTCTGAATCCCACTGTAGAAGAGACTACACTTCAGTACTGGGCCAGTAGGTGGTGCTATCGAGATAATGATCAGAGTTTCAGCAGGTATTAAGGGAAAGAGAAATTCAGTTCACAATACACCAGATAACCAGTGGATGGCGATGTTGCTTAACTTGTGATATCCTCCCCCTTGCGGCCTTGCTGACACATCAGAACAAAGCATGCACAGGTGGCTCGTTGGTACTTCATATAGCCATGTTGATGTTTTTTTGCCTGTTGATAATGCCATGATACATTTATGTGTGCTTTATAATTTAGGTTTATTAATAACAGAATATTATTCCCTATGTAGTGCACTGCCTTTGACCAGGGCCCATAGGGATGGGTGCCATTTCGGACGTTGCCACTATCTGATAAAAATGTATCTTCCGTACAGTACATTATAGCACTAGGATATTCTGGTAGACCCAAACATCATCACCAATCTCCCCACTCTGACAGTGTTCTCTTAGGGTAATCAGCAGTTGCCATCCTCCAATGCAGATGATTAAAACCCTGGGATAAAGCCAGCCTCAGCCATGTTCATTACAATGAAACATACAGACACAAGCAAACATCTAATCAAAGACACAATTCTAATCCTGTTGTTTTGAATGGGCCTCACTGCCACAACACTGTCACAACACTGCCACAACACTGTCACAACACTGCCACAACAATGGGTGCGTTTGTAAATTCGCTCTGGCTACTCCGATTTCAGAGCACTGTCGTCTGAGTGTGCCAGAGCGCAGAATAACTGATGAATTTACGAACGCTCAACAACTGTTGAATATGGCCGGTATCAGTAAACGTCAGCAAAAAAGCGTAATTAAATTGTTGCCAGCAGCCCAGTTACAATCACCAAAGCTCTGGATAACATGAAAACATCGGAATTGGAATTTCAGTTTACTTCCTGAATTGACTGAATTGAAATGGAATTGACCCCAAACCTGCCAGTATCATGGAGTAAGGGCCTGTACAGTATCAAACAGTGGTACCATGCAAGCTGGTTGGACTGTATTGGATTGTTGTGCTAAAAAGGAAATTGGATGGCCTTTATTACGTTTTGTGGGCATTTAAGGCTGCAGGATGCCACCGTTTATATTAGGCTACTGTAATCCAAAGGGAAAATGCAACAGGTTATGGGGCTGTTCTGTGAAAATTGATTTTGGACTCATTGGGAAAGGGGGGTACCTAGTCAGTTGCACAAATGAACGCATTCAAACAAAATGTGTCTTCCGCATTTAACCCAACCCCTCTGAATCAGAGAGGTGCAGGGGGCTGTCTTAATCGACGACCTGGGGAGCAGTGCCTTGCTCAAAGGCAGAACAGCAGATTGTTCCACCTTGCCTGCTCAGGGATTCAAACCAGCGACCTTTCAGTTACAACACTCTTAACCGCTACGCTATGTGTTGTACTGTATGTATCTGGGCATTGACAGGTAGTAACTGCAGCCAGCTGTAGTACAGTAGATTACATCTAGACAGATCATATTGGCTAAGTTACCTGAGCACCCTCACATCATAACCCAGATCATTTACACTACAGTACATCTAAGGCCTTCACTGGATCAGCCTTTACCTAGCCTACTACAGTAACAGTACACTAACACACTACAGCCCATGTCTAAAGTAGAGTAGTGTGCCATTCATTAAAACACTTGTGTGAAACTTTGTTCGTGGCAGATTACAGTAAACTTGTAATATTCGTTAGATTTTATTCTTACAGAAGAAAAGTAAACTTCATAATAACTTAGTTCTAAAATCAAACTGGAGGATTAGAGGACTGTATCTTAAAAACTATTTTTTTTGGTCATTTCTCTTATCCAGAGCGATGAGGGTTAAGTGCCTTGTTCAAGGGCACATCAACAG